ATCAGTAGCTACTGGTATTGAAACAATCTGACCAAAAATAGTCTTGCTTTCTCACAGCACAGCAGTCTTGTAAATAGGCTCTGCTTCCGGGAACGAAAGGCAAGGAGGAATTACAGCAATCAGCACATGAAGTAAAAAGCACATGCAATAAATAGGATGATTGCACAACAGTGGGTTTTCCAGTAAAAGGCAAAGCATTCTTGTGTGAACATAAATGCCCAGCCCAGATTCCTACAAAAGAAGGTAATCTAGTAAGTGATGGGCTTTACAGAATCTGCTTTCATTATCTGATTTTCAAAATTATCCCTTTCAAAACAAAATGTAACCCTTTTTTAGAGGTAAATGGAGAAAGACATATGCAAAAGAGAACTTTTATCTGCATCCAGACTGTATTTTGTGTTGATAATTGCCAAATAAATCAGCAAACTAGAACTAATTTTCCTGTTTATTGGTGAAACAAAAGGAACTTGTAAATGGATTTTAACTGACGCGAACACCCCCTACTTACTAAGACACAACACTGTTTAGCACTATCACTGCACATGGTGGGTACACAGCAGTCTAGGGTTAACACTCATATTCTACACTCAGCCTCTTGCATGCATAGGGGAATGATGTTACTCATTAAGGAAAATTAAGCAGCTGAACAAGAGAAAATGGTACATTTTCCCATTAGCCATATTTCCTATAGATAAGGGTGCCCTAAGACTGCCAGGTTCCAGCTCAGCTGAGATGAACAGCCAAGAAGAGGTAAGATTTTTACCAAAGGCAGTTCAATGGAAACGAACACCCATTGCTTCAAGCGGGGAACAAAACTACTCATTATTTTATCCTTGACTATAAAACACTATCAAATAACTGTTGTATTCACAACATCCCATGACTTCCACTTATGAATGCTTGTTACCTTCCAGAGGGCTCATGCTTTGGGAGCCTGCGACTGAGAAGATTTTCAGTTTTCCAGGGCCTGAACCTGCCAACGTGGGCTCACACACCTTAAGATGCCAGCACGAGCACTCACACCATAAACCACCCATAAACACAAAGCGCTTACGCATCTCTATAGAACGTCGGGCAGAGCTGAGACTATTTTTCTACCTACACACTGCAACAGAAGAACAACTCAGTGTACTTCCAGAGAAGCCAGTGAGACTTCACAGAGAATTCCCTGGCACCCAGAAAACACCAACTGATTGATATCTATCTGAATGAAATACAGACGCAAACGTAGATATACATGATTAAACGCCGCCCTCAGGCAGCTTGCAGGCCGCCCGCGGCGCGCCCCGCCTCCCTGTT